GCTCTGTGCGAGACTGTGGGCGGAGTTGCGCAGACTGTGGGCTCGGGAAATCCTTTTTTTCTCGTGGCCCGAAACTGCCCTTCAAACGCCTCAAACCCCTCGAAACTTGCCAATGGTTCTGCCATACTGGCCGTTGGAGCAGCCAGCTGCTGAGTTCTGGACGCTGGCTAGACTGTGGGCTCTGGGCTCTGGCTGCCCTGGACGCTCTGTTGGAGTTGCCACTTGCTGGGCTTTGGCACACCATTTCCCTTTTTCTCGTGGTGCGCAACGGCCCCTCTGGGCTATTTCTTGCCTATCGTCTTCTGCACGTTCTTCTTTTCGTCTTGCTGCGCAACCTTCGCAAGCTCGTGGCCTTATCCTCATCTGGCAAAGTCTCAATGGCTTCTCCTTCCAACGGAGTTCATTGGACGAGGCAAAGTGACAAAAAGAACAATCCAACAATTTCCATTTATGAACCTCCACTAAGGTCATGAGTCATATCTTCCACGAATTACTTGTGTGATTGGTCAGGGGCCTGTTTTGAGGGCTTGGGACTTGGGACTCTGCTATTCCGGATGACAAATTTGGCCAATCTTCGGGGAGATCGCAACACAGTCACCTGACAGCAACAAATATTCCCCCAATTGATGGAGGGAAAACAGCACCTACTGTCCCTGGTCTGATGTTCTCCCACCATTTCCACCGCATCCTCTCCTCATCCGCCTCACAATCTGGGCGAACGATGCATGGTTGGTGTACATGAGTGGGGAAGTAGGATCAGGTGACTCGACTGTACTGGGCTTGTCCTGGCTTTACGATGAACCTGTGATTCTTGGAGAGAGGGTTGCTGCTCGCTGCAGTATTGTCCCACAATTGACAGTTCTTGGACTCTTGGATGTCCTTGGGTACATCTCCAATGCTGTAGGGCTTCTTTACATCCATCGTTCCACCTACCCAACGTCAGCTTCCTTCCCCTCCATGTCGACGCACTAAGGCCCCAGGCCATAGCGAGCAAAACATATGGTCGACCTCCTTCCCCCCCAAAAAAAACGCGACAGCCTAAGCCTGAGCGGCGAAGACTCTGCTCCAGTGTGTCGGGGTCGGCGGCACCCGGGCGCTAGCCCATTCTATAATGATCATTTGATGCAGGAATCTGGTCTCTTGCTGTGATCATCTCACCGTTCAAATAAAGCCAACACGCTGAAAATGCCAAACCCCTCCCTCCACCAAGTCCCGCCTCACTCGTCTCGTTCGTCCAAGTCGCATCACTCGTCCCGTCCCGGGTGCCGTCTCACCTCCGGGGCTTCCAGAGGGTGAAGCCGAACTGGAAGAGGGAGGATGTTGGAACCGGTGGCGACCGAAGCAGCGAAGTAGAGCAGGTCGCGACGCTCGTCGTTTCGGAGTGGTTGTTGTTTGAAGTGGTTTTGATGTCGTTGTTTGAAGTGTTTTGAGTGTTTGGGGGGTCGTTTTGATGAATTTTGTGGGCACCAACTTGAAGCAAAACATCGCAAGTCTAGCCTGAGCGGCACGAGCAAGTCTAGCTCAAAGACTGTCAAACTGGAACTTCGATCTGAACCACATCGCTGTGGAAAAACACCAAAAAAAACGAAAGCATCACGAGGTGAAACCGCTGTGAACATCTCACCTTGTAACTCCAGACCTCCACTGGTGACCTCGAAAACCGTCCACCGTCCGAGCAGTCCATCGCTTCGGTCGCCGTCCATCGCTTCGGGGGAACGAACCAATCGTGTCTCCACCGTTGCAACGTGTGGAACCAACCGCGAGGAAAACCGTTGACCGTTTCTCCAAGAAAAAGGTGAAGACCTCTTCGGCATCCAAAAAGGAATTAGAATGATGATGAATGATGAATGTGGAGACCTTTTTGTAGTTTTGGAGTTTGGAACCCGTTGGACATGAAAGCGAGCCTCAAAGTGGCTTCGACTTTGAACCCTCCGAAGAACCCAGGCAAAAGTGCTTAGGAAATTGCTGCCGACCTAGAGATGAGCAACAACTCACCAAGAGAGGGAGGTGTCTGGCCCAGTAAGGAGGGTCACAGAAACGGGTGATCTAGCAAAATGAGACCGTCCTAGCCCTAATCCTCAGGATCAATGCCCTGATCATCATCCGCCAAAACACGCGCAGCTCATATGCCTGCAGCCTGGTGTATTTCGGTGTTGGCCCAACAAATTCTGGGTTTATAGGTGTGAAGTGCACGACCGAATCAACCACTGAACCAAAGAAGGATCAAATCACATCTCGCCGTTGTCTCCACCGTTGAAAGTTGTTTCACCATGAGGAAAAAACGTTTCTCCACAAAAAAACAAAAGGTGATGACCTCTCTAGCAAAAAAGGATTAGAACGTTGAATGTAGAGACCTCTTTGTAGATCCTTTTTGGGGACAGCCTCACTGTGACACCCTTAACCGTCATGGCGATGATCATCGTTGCAGACGACGATGTGACGATGTCAGACTGGTTTTGGCCAACGGCTCTTCTTGGAGGTCCAAACAAGTGAAAAAACGCTTCTGAGTCTGAGTCTGGATCTGTAGTCTATAATGACATTCTTTCAGTGCGTCTCTGGCGTATGTTCTTGAGAGACCCTAGAGTCGTCCGTCGCCCAGCAAGCCAGCCTTTCCGCAAGCAGAGCGGTTCTGCAAAGATTGAAACGATTCAGTGTTTAGCAATCAATTTACATGCAAGTACATACCTTGCTTTACAAGGGCTCTCAACGACGGCAGCCATTGCGGCCATGTGAATATCCCCACCGTCGAGGACACACCCAGCCATCCTGAAACCACCAGTACTCGCAGTCTTGACATTCACATTCTTTTGCTAGAACCCGTTTGCAGCCAGTGAAGTCAACTCCCAACTGGATCCGAGTAGTGGAAACGACCAAAGTCAAAGCACTGCATTCTGCAAAAGCTTCATCCGCAATCTCCGTCACTGAGTCCGGGATGGTCAC